GGTCCTTGCTGAGAAGGATTCCCATAGCATGATCCTACCTACTGTACACCAAAATTACTGCTTGATATTAACGCCAAAAGATCCAATTTGGTCTCAGCTGACAACAACACCTCTTGTCCACTGTTTGCAGGATCACTTAAATGCTTTCTTGCAAACTACATGTAGAATCTGACATGAGTTTTCCACTTTGGCATACAGGCTAGTTTGACTGGTACACATTTTCTCCCATCTCAGCCATTGAACTAAAAACCATCTGTAGCTCTTTCAAAGTTATGATTGGCCTAACAGTGGCATCCCTTCATCAGTTTCCTCCTTGCCTGTCCCTCAGTTTGGAGGGGAGTCCTGAACTAGGCAGTGTCTGGATGGTATAATGCAACATTAATTTCTTGATAGTTAAGTAGACCGTGCTCACAGGGATATTCAGAATCTTCAATATTTTTCTATCTTCTCTGCTTTTTCCTATTCTGTGTTTTTCAATGACTTTATGATTTGCTTTGAAAGCACCTTAGTCTTCATTACTCTTTGCTTCAGCTTCACGACCTGACCAAGGAATCTCACAGATACAGGTGTTTTAATTCTGAAATAATGAAAATCACAGTTATTGCAGACAAAGGCCACTCAGCTAATTGTGTGGCTCATTAAGGTAAGCTTGTGGTTTAGAAAAGGATCTGAATTGTTATGCAACCACTTGTCAGTTTTGATTTCATATTTAATGTATATTTCCTTCTTATGTCTCCTTTTTTTTTGCACTAAACATATTGAATAGGACGTCTACATAAACAATTTTAGTTGCTATGGCATAATGGGAAAGTTTAAAGCAACCATGCAAGGGTCAGAATACTTTTGCAAAGCACTATATACTGTATATATTACACTGCAAGGATATACTGTACTTTTTTTCATAAGAGCCATTAAATGTAGTACCCCTTTCTGCCTAAACATTCTATCGAATCATATGTTTCAGAACTTAAGTTTGTTATGAGCATTTTATGTACATCTGTTGATTGCATAGAGCATTTCCTGGTCTTGCAACTCACATACTTTTACCATGTGAGTTACCTTGACACATTACACAACATTACCTTGACACTGCCCAACACAGTAGATCAAGTAGAGTAGTAGTAGAGGATCAAGATCACGTTGCAGGCACCAGCAGTTTGGACCTGGCTTTTCTGTGTTGTCGCTTTTGAATCGTTTCTGTGTACAAACATTGTGTACCAATTCCATGCTTTACTAGGTTCTGTTGCCAATATTGTATATTACACAGCACTTTCTCTGTTGTTTAACTTCTACATTGTATCGTAAGGAACAAGTAAAAGTTTATTCCATGCTGAAAAGAGAAGAAAGGAAACACAACATTTCGGGTGTGGAGCCTTCCTCGGGTGTCATTGTATCATAAACCTTGTATTACAGTACAATACTACTGGTTGTTAGATCACTGTATTTAGATTTTCTTTCTTCACAGACATTACACAAATCTCACTTCCACAAGAGTGTGCACTTGAGCCATCTTACATTAATACTGTAAAGAACTTTCATTTTTTAGTTTTGCTTAAGCTTCAAATGTTTGATTATACAAAATATTTGTTTCCATAAAGTGAGCTTTTTTTCAATGTAGGATGACAGTGATGAAATATTTAGTCAAATGAAACCATTGAACATCCACCTTTGAGTTTCAAGGGTACTAAAATTTAACATGTTCACGTAATAAACTCAACTCACCTACTGCATGTTTTCTTAGTAAACATGATCTAATATAACTTCAATTAATTATTAATTCTCCTTATGAAACCTCTCCATTTTTACAAGGGTACAAGTTCTCAATTGCAAACTGGAGGTAAACTATAAGTTCAAATGTGTTTGTTATCTCACAGTTTTTGATTGAAGAGTCATCAAAATTCAAATTAGAAAAAGGGTATGTTATTACGTGAGGAGTGTTTTTGAGTTTTACCTGGTATTAGCGGTCTACATCATCTTTTGTTAAATAAAAGTGATCATAACAGTTGTGACCATGTAAGTTTACTGAGAATTTTTAAACAATCAAAATCAGAATATCACATGGCTCTTCAAGACTTGGTTGAACAACAATAGCAGTGATCTACACCACTATGCATATGAAGATCTTCATCTTTTTTCACATTTTAAGGATCTTCTTTAACAAAACATCAATTGATATGACTTATCAATTATTATCAATTAATTATATAAACATCATCTGTAACCCTAAATAATGAATGCATATTTGAAATCTGTTTAGTTTTACAGCAATAGAGCTGAGGGAATACAGGCCTATCAATCACAGCACTTTTTCACTATTTTCATGCATAATTTTATTGTTGCTTATAAAACTGAATTCTTTCTCCAAAACAGATTTCAAAGAAATGTCAGACAAAAAGAGTCATTTGATTTTAAGTAAGTAAATAAAGAATAATTCGATGCTTGTGATCAGGGGACTTGATTTGGTTTGTTTCTTATAATTTTAAAAATGATTTATGAAATTCATTATATCTGGTAATTTTGTTATACGCCTGACATTATATTTTTATGCGATATTTTTTTATTTTTAAGGGAAAGAAGTAATTATATCATATTTCTTGAAGCTGTTATGGGTTATGCACGCCAATGAAGCGGTGTGATGGTGTTTGAACAATCCATCTGCTGCCGTTACGAATAATAAATTACTTTACACAGCAATAAAACTGGCCATTTGGGCACTGTAAGTTTCAAATATATATTACACAGCTTGATATAAAACTGACAATCTAGAATATGTATAAACTTAACTCATTATAATGTGAAAATCAATTCTCATTAATGTTCCTTTAATAGAGCCTTTAATGAAAATTTTTTGCTGAACAACGCTCCATTGTGAGCTTCACTTGCCTCTAACCAATTCTTTAACCAATAAACACTCAGCCAATAGAAAACAAAGAATCATAGGACATTTCCCCCTTTTTTGCTGCTAAACAATAACCTTCAGATAGAAATGTGGTTTCAGAATATAGAAACTCTGGATGGAGAATTAAGAATCCTTTAAAATAACTTTTTGGATAAAAGAGAAATAAGGTGGCAAACAACTGCACTATTAGAATCTGTAATTTGAGAACGTTCATAAGCAAATAGCAGTTATTATTGTGTCATTACTTATGCAATGAGCTATTGCTCTAGCCATGGGGCACCCTAGCTCTCACAGACACTGCCTCCCCGAGTTGTGAGATAGATGGCATACATTTGTATCAATGAAACAGCATGGTTAGATACCACATAAACAAAACAATTAAACAGATGATGAAAATAGGCAAGAGATAGCAGGAAATAGATCATCCATATCGGCCACTTTTTCTGTGTTTCTTAATATACAGTACAGTACAAGTTCTTCACAATTCTTATTGTTTCTAAAAATGTTGTTTTTGCTTTGTTGAAATTAAATCACTGTGCTAATTCACACAGAACCAAAATTGGATTAGCATAAAATTTTTTACAAATAATTACAATGAAGTACAGTTTAAATGTTGTACTGTTAAATGGGGTGATCAGAAATAAGCAGAATACTGTATGTACCTATTAAAGATGTCGTACTACAAAATTACTGTAAAGCGAGTCATTATGGCTAAATGGCACCAGTGCCATGTGAGAAGAGATTTGATGACGGAAATAAGAAGTGGTAAAGTGAATGTCACATAGTTCCCTTCCCAGAATCACTGTAACTGCTAAGTCATCACATTCACATCTCTTTTGAAGCAATAACAGATGCTTTGTAAATGGTATATTACAAACTGTACCTGGGAATGGCCGCTCAAGAATATGCTATCAGAAATGGTTTTCATAAACATTTCTATTACAAATGGTCAAATAAAAAAAAAACACTAACTGGACTTAGAACAACTGTAATATACTTGAATTCTACTAAGATATAAAATATAGATATTAGTTTAGCAAATAATGCATTCATTTCTACTTTTAAAGACTTTTAATCATTAGTTTCATACAACCTTTATTATTATCAATATTTTCTAAATGTTTCTTGTACATGATTATTATTTACTGCCGAGGAAAAAAATAATTTATAATGGAATTTGGCCCAGAAAGCAATGTCTATATCAACTTATTTGGTTTGTTACATTTTTATTCTTCCTAAGAAATCTTTTATAATGTTTACTGCTTATAATTTAATTATATTATATAAATAAATATACAGTAATTGTAACAAAAAGCAATCAATTTGTCCCTCTACTTTTATGTTTTTCAAGTTAACAATATACTTACATGAGAACTACATAATTGTACTTTGGAATTGGAATTAATAATGTTTTCTTGGAATTAACTTTGATATGTTTGTGGTCATCTCCTTTATCCAAGATAACAGACTGTACAGTTCCTACATTCAGTCTATGATCTGAAGTAGTGCCCTTACATAATTCAGACTGTTTCTATGGAAACTATGTACAACTGCATCAAAAATCAAAGAACACACAGATCTTTTGCTACAGTCAAACAGACAGAAGACATATTCCAAATTAGCTTAAAAGGAAAGTCAATCCCTCAGTGTAGCAACCTGACCTATCAAGCTTTAGCTATTACTTCTGATCATATATCCTTTGTTAAATAATATATGAGAAGGTAAGGTTATGCACATGTCCTGGGTATTGCAATAGACACTGGATTATCTGTGTGATTTTCTTGCCAATGTGACTCACTATTGTGAAAAGTGGTGTATTAAGGTTTCAAAAGAGCTTTGTAATAAAAATATATAAGGATATATATAATTGTATCAGGATTTTTAAAGGCAGCAATACATCTACACATATAAACCAAGAACATAGTTAAGTAATTGTGGGAAGGTTACTCCTCTTTTTAAATTACCAGCTGTCCTCTGGTTAATTTTAGGTTTGTCCTTCTTCTGCTTTCGGTATCACCGCTTGAAGAATTTATGAAGTGGTGAATAAAAGGGGCTACATGTCACCCTGAGATACCCCGATAATGTGATATGATCTGGTTACCTTGCGCAGCGGTTTGAGCTTCGTCTCCATTATGAAGTCGTATTTGCAGAGTTCGCAGCAGCGCGTGTCCGAGCTCTTGATCCACTGGTGGAGACAGGCCTGGTGCACGAAGCGCAGGCTCCCCGTGCAGCGGCACGGTGTGATGAGAGGGCTGTCCTCATCTCCTTCGCAGTGGCAGATCCTGTGAAAACACACACGCGGGATGAATGGAGCTTGGAAACCGCCTCTCCTTACCTCTCGGCTGCTGTTCTTATTTTTTTTGCACATTTGACAGTTTCAGATCCCGAAGCTGAACTCCAGAGCACATACAGGGAAATACAGGGAATAAGGCTCCTTGCACTTCCCCCTCTTGTGTTCTTGCAATTATCTTTTAATTCCCGAGACACAATCGGGAATCAGACATTGTTTTGGTGATGAATTTTGATAAGACGGTAGCAAAAGGTTTAGTTGAATATAAATGCATATGCACACCTGTAACAATAGTATGTGAGTTGTTCATTCTTTGGATGTTAATTCTAACGTTATATGGGTGTAGACTTTTTGTTTTAGTTCGGTGCTGTATATTATAATCGAATTATACAATTTGAAGTGATTTGTAGTTTATTAGGACAAGGGTCTTTTACTTATGTTTAATAATCAATTTTAAATATTACTTGTTAAAATTAGAGTGTGCATGTTCTTTTATCACAGAGTCCTTAACAATGGCACTAGCAATGATACACTTCCACATGCTAGTGGTTTCAAGGGATTAATTTTTTGGCAGTGGCATACTATAAATAAAATGTATTTTGTGGTGGAATTGTAGAAGGTTGTGGCACTGGTTTTGGAATGTGGGAGTATGGAATAAGTGATCCAGTCACATTGTTGAAGCTGAAACCCTAGTTTCTTTTCAAAAAGGGTTGCAAGAGATTTTGGGGGTAATTAGCTACTAAATAACAAATGGACTGAAAGACCTTTCTTTTTCTTGCTTTTCTCATGTCCATATGGTTTTGCCAGTAATGTGAAGTTAGTTAACCAAATACAGACTGCCATTTGTCTGGGCTGTGTTTTGATACAAGTGCACATCATCTCCTAGTACTAGTGCTACAGTAGATAGACCCCAGATTCAAAGGGTATATTTGATCATTTTTGATCATATTTGATTCAAAGGGTATATTTTGTTCATTTCAAAATCAGTTATTATTTTGTTGACTGCAAAATCAGTAATGTTGGAATTCATGCTCTTCGTGTCTGTGTGACAGGAAAACTATTTGTATGTGTTTAGTCATGGCACAATCTGGGAAATAAAGATATTCTTTGTTCAGATAGCTAAAACACAGATGCTCAATGTAGCAATTGTATTAGTCATCAATTAAGACTCAGTAAAACTTCCAAGTTACTTGCATTTTCCATTGGGCATGTGCTGTATAATTTTAATAACCTTACTACATTTACCAAGAAAACAATAATTTTCCATTTTGCCATTTTGCCATTTTTCCATGTTGGAACTAGATGGTTATGATAATACTTCATGCTATTCATCACTAATAATGTACAGTTTTCAGGAGATGGAGTTATTCCTCTCAGCCCCGGTTTCTTGGTTTAAATCCAATTAAATATGTTAGGAAAAATAAGCAATCTTGTAAGGCTGAACTACAAAAAAAAGAATTTTGGTGGAATTCAACTTTCTAATGTAATGTAATTGTGGTACTGATTTTGGATTGTGGGAGTATGAAATAAGCTGTCCAGTCATGTTGTTGAAGCTGTTTGAGGGATGTAACAAAACAGCATGTTGTCAATGTGGAATTATGTGGTCTTATCAGCAGCTCAAGTTGAAGAAACTGCTCTAGAATAGTCACCTTCATTTTATTTTCAATATAAAACATTCCAAACATGTTCCCATTGGTTCTTTTACAAAATATTTTCTAGCATATTAAATTTCAGAAGTCACTTAATACTTTTGGCTAGCGTTTTATACTGTATATAGTTGTATATTGTTGCAAGCACACTAGCAGCATTTCAAACAAACTTGACTAATTTTTCAAGAGTCAGTTCTTTTATTTTGCTTGTCCTGATAAGGGCCACGGCTTTATTGAATGTCACAGAGAATTTATTCAACTTTATTTTGCTGTGATGCCTTTCCTTGGATTATTGGACACTTATTCATCATTTCAAGTGTTAAGTGAAATGTACTAGCTCAGTGGTTCCCAAACTATGGTACTCGTACCACTTGTGGTATGTGGAGCGCCGCCAGGTGGTACGCTATATGACCCTGGAACTTTGTTGTGTGCTCTGAAAAATTGGGACGGGTTTTCATATTTTCTACTTTAATCAAATTAGTTTGGGTCGAATACACAGCCAACGTACTACGATACAGCGCGCGTTAATACTTGAGTGGACATAAGAGCTACTATGTAATTCTATACCATTCTAAAGGAATGTGTGCTACGAACATAAGTGACCAATTGTATTTACAAAAAGTTATCTCCAGCAAATAGGGAGGTAGGAGAATGTGCGTGATCTTGGAACAATGCCAATGTTGTAAGCACAGAAAAGCATAGAAATGCGTACTACGAATGCTGGCAATCTTGTGAGCACAGGAAAGCATGATAGATATCAGAAAAAGAACTGTTTTAGGTTAATTTGAGAAAAATCCGGAGAGCGTCTCTGTGTTTCACTCCCATGCGCATGAAATAAAAACTTCTTTTAACGTCTGAGACGGACTTCTGAGATGGGGAAAAAAGCAAGCTTGCGGATTGCTAAAACAGGTAAGCACCATACTATTTTTAAAAAACTTTGTTTACCGTTGGCAAAAGAGCTGACACGTATTATGTATGGAGAAAAGGCTGCTAAACAGCTCGACCTGCTGCCCCCTCCGAAAGACACAGCCACTCATAGAATTATTGATATTGTTGATGATATCAAAAGTACACTGATAGAGCGTGTTAAGGTGAGCAGAGGCTTTTCACTTCAATTAGATGAGTCCGTAGATGTCATTGATTTGGCGTGAGAGCACATATTTCAGCTTCTGAATGAATTTATTGAAGAGAATGGCATCGACTGGATAAAATGTGTCTGAGTTTGTACAGACGGTGCTAGAGCGATGACAAGCCGACACAGTGGTGTAGTTGCACAAATTAGAGAGGTTGCTCCAGATAAAAAGAGGCCTTTGCCGTCAAGAAAATGCCTGACGATTTAAAATCTGTTGTGAATTGTATCAAGGCTTGACCAATGAATTCACATCTGCTTTGCTCGACTAAACAGGCTCACCCCTCTCACTGAAATGGTGCTTTTATATTGTTTATTTTTAATTGTTCTTGTTCCTGTTGTCCTTCTGTAAAGTGCTTTGAGTTGCCACCTTTAAAGGCGCTATATCAAATAAAGTTTATTACTATAATACTTATTTTATGTGTGTGTGAGTGTGTGTGTGCATGCGCGTTCATTTTGGTCATTGAGGTTTTCTGGGGTTCCTATGAAAAGATGACTTGTCGGTGGTACTTGGATGCTTTGGTTTGATCAGGGGTGGTACTTGGTCCGAAGAGTTTGAGAACTGCTGTTCTAGCTAATTAATGGGGCTCCATTGCTTAAATCTGAAAGACCATGCACACTTCTAGAACATTGTGAAAAAAAAAAGCTGAGCATGATGAACACTAATGATAATGTATATACATGCTGTGCACTACAAAGTTTACCAACCTGCAAACTTCCAATTCATCATCAGAAGGCTGCTGGGTTCTGCCATCCTGAAAATTATGCTTCTTGACACGAGGCACAGCAAGGGCTTCATTACCTGAACCTCTGTCTTCATAGGTCTTGGTGATTGTATCTTCATCGGGTGGTGATGAACTGTCAGCATTTTCTCCTATGATTCCTGTATCTCTTGAAGTATCCTTCCTTTTCTCAAAATGAGAACTACGTAACTGAGAAGATTGTGAAGTAGAGGAAATTCTTGTTTCCTGCTTCCTACAAGGCCTTCTACGGTTCTTTAAAACTGGGGCTTCCACCTCTGAAGGGATGTGATTTTCCTTCTTCTCTTCGTCATCAGAATCAATTGAAACTAGTTCTATTGCATCCCGTTCTGCTGCTCGATCCTGATGCTTGGTAGGCTGATTGCATCTTCTCCCTTTTTTGGAAATTCTTGCCTTCTCCCGACTCCAGCTCCTTGCCTGTCTCCAGTGCTCCTCATCTGAAGAGGAGTCTGAATCATGTTGGAATCTATTGTGTTTCAGCCTGAGGAATTCTTTGCGTGACCTAAAGAGTTTCTTACTGTGACGCTTTGGGCCCTCAATGCACTCACAGCTTTGACAGGTTTCCTTTTTTGTTCTATGCTGTCTTTTGGTCTGTCTCTTACCAATATGCTGACCCGTATTAGTCAGGACTGTGACAGGAGCGCAATGCTCAAAGTCATCTTCCTGAACTTCATGCAGAGTTGCAGGCCTTAGCAGAGCAGAGCAGCAGCATCAGTGACAACATAAAAAGATGGAAAATAAAGAGTGGAAAAAAGAAGATGATAGGGATAATTTAACAGACAAAAAAAAATAAAAACAGTGTTTTAACTGGGGTTCTTGTTTTGTAACAACTTCCCAAAAAGCCTTTTTACAGGCACAAAGGCCTTCAACAAACTATATAATCTTTTAAGGGTAATGAGTAGTTAGTACTAATAACTTCTACATTAGAAAGTTAAGTGTATGGAAATACCAGTTTTACATAATTTAATAACTGTTGATTAAGCCAATTTTCTCCAAACTTACAGCTTTTTCTTAAGATGTTTTGTCAAAGAAGAAAACAAAGCTAATGTTTTTTTTACTTAGTTGAATACTCCATGCTAGCTATCGTGTTGACTTTTTTTAAAAATAAACTTGTTTAGGCCTTTTAACAATGCCTTACTTGAAGCCCAGTTTACAAAAGCAAGTGAGTTAAAATAGATGATGTCTTCAAAATACAATGCAAGCACAATTGGTAGCCACAGTAGGTCATACAGAAATGAAAACAGACCATAAAAAAGCAAAGCTTACAGACATTTAATCAGAAGACTTCAAAGTTCTCAATCTTCTCCACCTACCTGCAAATATCCTGAGTAGAAGGAGTAACAGACGTTCGTGACAGGCTTGTCGGAGCTGTTCCTGTTGTAGGACTACTTGCCTGCAATGACCAATCATACAATTTAACTTTTTTCTTCAAGAAGGACATTATTAGGAACACATTTGTTTTCTTATAAGTTCTTGGTAATCATGTTGTGATCCAAAGGCAGCACTTAGACGGACTTCAAAAAGAAAGAACTAGGATTAAAAAACGCAGTAAAAATGAAAGTAGTTTCAGGAAGTTTCTGTTTGCAGCTACGATCAGAATTTAACCCCTGCATAGCTCAGTTTTCTGAGGTTACTGTAACTGGTGGAGGTTTGCCTACTTCTTTTTTTATGTTTTTCACTTCATTAAAATGAAGTTGCACAATACAGGAAATTTCATTTAAACTGGAAATGTACCACAGTATTCATTTAAAGAGAGGGAAAAAGACAGCAAGGAGATGTTGCTGTAATTTGCATGTAACACTGTTCCTAAAACATTATCAGTAAAATTACAGAATTCTGAAGCATTTTAATACAGGAAATTAGCATTTTAAAATTAATCAAATTTAAGTATTAGCATGTTAGACTATTTCATAATATTGTGCAACAAAGTTATGGTTTCCGGCAATTTGGAATCACACTGATAAATATTTTACACAGCTAGTAAGCCATGTAAAACCCATGTAAAATGAGATATTTATACATCTGCAAGTAAGCCACTCTCACTCCTGTGAATTTTGATACAATTGAATACTGAGATTGTATTCAGATGTTCACAACTTTGCTTAGAATGGGGTATTTAAGGTCTTACAGACACAACTATAAAAAAACAAAGGCTCTATAAACATACTGTATTAGCAACATAATGCAAATTCAGAAGTCTGGCTCTGTATGATAAGATAAAGGTCGTGGGTGGTATGGTGGTTTTTGCTGCTGCTTCACTGCTCTATGCTCCTGGCCTGGGACATCTTCTGTGTTGGGTTTGCAGGTTCTCCCTGCAGATGGGTGCTTGAGTTTCCTGTTCACAGTCCAAATAAAACCAGTCAAAGTTAATTGCCATCTCTAATTTGCTCCCCGTAGGTGTAAGTGAGGGAATGTGTGTGTGTGTGTGCATGTGACTTGTAATGGACTGGCGACCCCTCCAAGGTGTATCCTGCGTTGCATCCATTTTCTGCCAGGTTAGGTCCCGTCTTGCTGCAATCTTATATCGGACTAAGTGGAAAATGCATGGATACAAAAAATGTTAATGTGTGTGTATCTGAGACAGAAATGGCTTGACTGAGATTACATATCTGACTTTTGTCTCCATCAGCCCGATTCCTGCTGCTGATGTATATTTTTGAATAAACACCCCATTAGAGAGATTAAGAGGGATTTTCTGAAGCACATTGCAGCACTTCTGTAGAAAAACACATTTTAGAGACACACACTTGTAATGTATTAATAATAATAATAATAATAATTGCTTACACTTATATAGTGCTCCCCTCAAACACCACCAATGTGCAGCATCCACCTGGATGATGCAACGGCAGCCATAGTGTACCAGAACACTCACCACACATCAGCTATTAGTGGGGAGGAGAGCAGAGTAATGAAGCCAATTCATAGACGATGATTATTAGGAGGCCATGATTGATAAGGATGCCAGGGTTACACCCCTACTCTTTACAAGAAACCCCTGGGATTTTTAATGACCACAGAGACCACAGAGACCTCGGTTTTACGGTGCCTGTTTGCAGTATAGTGTCCCTCTCATATACTGGGGCATTAGGACCCACATAGACCGCAGGGTGAGCGCCCCCTGCTGGCCCCACTAACACCGCTTCCAGCAGCAACCTTCGTTTTTCGCAGGAGGTCTCCCATCCAGGTACTGACCAGGCTCACAGCTGCTTAGCTTCAGTGGGCTGCCAGTTGTGAGTTGGAGGGTGATATGACTGCTGACTAATCACCCTGCAATGTAGTATTTAACAGACAGCCACAGTATTGGGATGTCTTTGACATATTACAATTAATCCTGACTTGGTGTTAAAAGTAGTAATACATTCTGAGGTGTTGAATTATACAATAATGCTTTTATTGTGATAACATTAGTGCCTTTATTAGTTTTCACCATTGGCAAAGTAGATATTTCCCCATACTGCCAAGATATTGGTGTAGGCGGTCTCTCAGTTGCAGTTAGACATTTCTAATTGGCCTGTGAAAACACTCTTAAACACCAAACTGCATTTTGAGAAGCAAGCAGGAGCAAATTGAGAAGTAAACTTCAATCAATAGCGCTTGTGTTTACTGAGAACGGGAAGTGACACATGTATGTGGTTGCAGCATATTCTCTCAAACTAGGTTTAAGGCCTAACAAGAATTTGAATCCATTCAGCCCAAATCTATAATTACAACAAGTATCAAAATGAAGTTTTTAAGAGTGTTAACATACATGTTTAATTTTATAGTTTATTCACTGGAGGAATATAATAAGAACAGATACAGTATATTTAAGCATTCAGAAACCGACATCTACATATCAGTATTACTAAGACAGCTGAAACCAAAGACATTTAGTTTTGGTTAGTTATGCTGAAGATGAACAGCTTTGTTTACCTAATAACATTCATTGCTATTGTACATAGCCAAATGCTATGCTTGACCTCCTAGCCTGCTCTTCCTGAAACCTTGAAATATAAAATGTACTTCTGTGTTTTACTCACATGTTTTGTGAGTCACACACAGAAAACCGGAAATTCTAGATTTTAAATCCAAACAAATCTCATTCATTTGGTGCCAGAAGGTTAAGATGCAGATATTACAATCAAATCTGTTGCTTTCCTTGTTTGAGTCAGTGGATCCCAAACAAGTAACTCCTACATTTGGGCATTTGTAAATTGTTGTACATACAGTATGTTTAGGTTCCCCACTTGAATTATTAATTTATTTCTTTACTATTCACAACTGAGAATAGTTTTCGAAAGTCTGTAAAAGCTGGCAATATTACTGTTTCTCTAGGATTATTAGACTATACAAACCAATATTAAAACTCAAATCAAAGGTTTTGCAATTAACTTCTAGGAAGAAGTAGTTCAGGTGGGTAGCTGCGTCAGCATACTGTACATAGGCTGCAAAGGAACAAGTAATAGGTTTATTCCATGCTCAAAAAAGAAGAAAGAAAACACAACGTTTCAGCCGTGGAGCCTTCTTCAGGTGTTACCCGAAGAAGGCTCCACAGCCGAAACGTTGTGTTTTCTTTCTTCACTTTTCAGCATGGAATAAACCTATTACTTGTTCCTTTTAAATTCTAGAAAGACAGGCATTTGTATAGGAAATTCTCATCAATAGCTTCACATTTTAATTTTCTGTTTTAAAAACTGAAGTTAGAAAGCTCTGTGCTGTATTTGATTAAAGTCAAAATGAAATAAAATAGCTCAATACAATTTTAATAATCTTATAAATATTGCAAACAATATGTAATTACTGTCTTTTCTGATCTTGAGAAAGTAGACCATGCTTTTATCTCATGCAGTTTGAACTACTGCAATGTTTTGTTTCCTTGTGCCACTAGTCTAATCTATATCAAGGTTACGGCTGGTGTAGAAAGAGTCAGCTGGAGATCTTAATAAAACAAAAAAGAAAGAACCTGTTACTCCAGTCATGGCTTTTCTAGTTCTAGAAAACATTCTGTCTTAAGTACAAAGCCCTCAATGGTGTGGTACCAGATTATCTGACAGAGATATTTTCTTCCTACTAATCTCAATATACAGGACAAGGTTTGCAAGATGTTACCTTCCCTGCAAATGGAAGGTTATGTTAAAGAGAAAGAGAAAAACTGACCTTTGTTTTCAAACACGACTTCTGTGAAATTGACTACCTTTCAACATGAAAAGCTTTCCTTCTGTTTCTAGTTTAAAGTCAGTGTTGTCATTCAATTTTAACAGATTTGTTATAGTGTACCTTTAATTCTGATTTGATAGTTTTATGGTCACTTTTTACAAATTTTGTATTTTTTAATTTAATTTAGTTTTTAACAGCTGTTACATTCTGTTTAGTTACGGTTTTTTCATATCATTGTTAAGTGCATTGGTGGCACAGTGGATATTGTACCATTACTGTCTTGCAGCACTGGGGCCCTGGGTTATATTTCTGACCTGGGGTGCTATCTGGATGTTCTCCCCGTGTTTGGGTGTTTTTTTTCCCCCGAGGTTCTCCGGTTTCCTCCCAGTCCAAAGACATACTGGAGGTTTAACTGGCTTTTGGAAAAATTGGCCCTGGCGTGAGATTGTGTGTGTGCGCCCTGTGATGGACTGGCATTCCATCCAGAGTGTTTCCTGCCTTATGCCCATTGCCTGCCAGGATAGGCTTCAATTCCCCCATAATCCTGTATTGGATAAAGAGGTTAGAAAATGGATGGATGTTAAGTGCTTGTGCACCAAAAGTGTTGTATAAAAATATATGTAAAGAAGATATTGAAGATTTAGATTTTCTAGTACAGAACTACAATGTAATAGAGTTTGAGTTAAATCCATGTTTCAGACAGTTTATCACCTATTGAATGCAGAAAATCAAGTTTAGTCAAGCCACCTCATATATCAAACAGTAAAGTTATAAAAATAACATTTTTTAGTATTGATTATCCAAACAATGTAATAACATAGTGAAGAAAATCAATTACTTCTTTTTACCTTGGAGATGTTGCTCGATCGACTTGCTGAGCGCCCGGGTGACTTTTCATTCTGTTAGAAAAGATACAAAATACAAAATATACAAAAAAAAACTCCAATAAATTGTGTTAAATTTGCTTATTTACATATATGCAATCAATTGACATTAAAATATGCAGTATGTCAAAACACCAAATCATGCTGGCAATCCATGTTAATCACAGGGCAAGTACTTTTCACAGTGTACACAGTATATATTGATTCAATTATTCTTTATCACTGCTGTAATTACTGTTTATTAACAACTGGTTAGTCATTATCTGTTACACTATTTATTTGCTTTGTGTGTGGTTTCTAGAACAGTTTTGTAACTAGGGAGTTCCATTTCATGACCTTGTCTAATACAAATCAATCCTATTAACTTATTTCGCTTCCAAGTATAACACATGTTTATAGTAGCTGTTTTGTAATCAATTTGCTGAAATATACAAATTACATAACAAAATAAGCAGGGTTTATTTCTTCCTATGGTGTAGCTAAGAGAAGCTTTGGTGTGTGGTTCAATGGAAAGTGACCTTAGACAAAAGCGAAATTGGTTTAGTTGCTTATATTCCATGAAATTGCTTGCTGTTTATCATACAAATCTACTTCATTTTGTATTGTACCTTTTTTGTACTCAGGTTTTCTATTATTTTTGCATGAATTTATAGACTTATATGTTACATTACAGAGCCTTGCAAAAATATTCAGACCCTTGCATAATTTTCACATTGTGCCACGCTTTCTAAGCACATTCTGAGCAAAAAAAAAAAGAAAAAGCAAACAGATAATATGAATGAAAAATGAAAAGGTTATAACTGGATAAGCATTCAAACCCTTTGTTGTGGCATTCTAAATTAGTTGAGTGGCCTATGTGAGTAATAGTAGTATTTCACATGATTTCAAGGAAAATGCAAGTCTCTATATGGAGTCATGAAGACCAAGGAGTTTTCAAAACAACACAATGTATAGAGTAGAGTAACGGAGTTTACTGCTATATACCCTTACATTGGAATGTTATCTTTAAACCCCTTTCACTCAGGATATGCACAGCACAGTACAACAGACAACACCACACAATGTAGACAGAACATTATAAAGTGGTACATAATAAATATTGCTAATATGTACAGTCAATAAACAACCAGAACAATAAATACATGGTAGAAAATAAATATGTGATAAAGAACGATATATATATATGTTGTAATGAACATACTGTAAGCACATGGTAGTCCAAGTAAAAAGTGCTTAGCGCAGAGATGTATTGAGTTCTGAGGCAGCTGTTTATGATGCACACTGCTGCAAGGTAGAAGCTGTTCTTCAGCCTAGTGGTTCTTTTTTTAATGGTGAGGTACCACCTGCCAGAGCGCAGTGGGGAGAACAGTTTGTGGCCGGGATGATTGGGATTTTGAATGATGGATTGGGCTTTACTATGACAGCGGATGGTGTAAATCTCACTGATTGATCGTAAGTCACATCCTATAAGTAGCAGTAGCAGCTTCCCTATACCACATTTCTTTAGGCACTGTAGAAAGTACAGGCACTGTTGTGCCTTTTTCAGAAGGCTACAGTGCTGTGAGATCAAGCCAAGTTGGTTGAGATCTGCACACTGAAGAATCTGAAGCAGCTGACAGTTTCCACTGTTGTACCCTCAATGCTGATTGGGGTGTGACTCCCTCTGGGTCTCCTGAAGTCCATGAGTTATTTTGTCTTGTTGGCATTGAGGACCATATTGTTATCAAGGCATCATCTTGTGAGATACTCCACCTCACTCTTATATGTGTACTCATCATTATTACTGATCAGCCAGATAACTGTGGAGTCATCAGCGAATTTGATAATGTGGTTGCAGCTGTATATGGCTGTACAGTCATAGGTGAAGAAGGAGTACAGGCTTAGACTGAGACAGCAGCCTTGGGGACCTCCAGTGTTTAGGATCACTGTAGTGGAAATATTGTTGCCAGTTTTTGTCACCTGAGGTCTGCCCATTGGGAAATCTAGTATTCAGTTGCAGATGGAGTTCTAGATCCCTGAGTTTTGGGACCAGCTTGGCGGGAACAATTGTGTTAAAGGCTGAGCTGTAATCTATTAACAGCTTTCTAACATTTGTGCCCAGTCTGTTTAAATGTTTTAGGGCAATATATATTGCTAGAGATATGGCATCATCAACTGACCTATTTAAGCAGTAAATGAAGTAGGCCAAGGGGGTCTAGGATAGTGCAGTTTATATAAGACAATACTAGGGCTTCATGACCCTGATGTCAGTGCTACTGGGCGATAATCATTTAAGTTTCCTTGGTCATTTGGACAGTGGCACAATTGTGGTTTTCTTGAAGCACTCTGGTATGACTGACAGGGACAGGGAGAGGTTAAAAATGTCAGCATATACAGGAGACTGCTGACCTGCAAAGATTTTAAGGACATGAGGGGAGATACTGTAACACTGAGTGTTACCCTGCTTCCTCTTGCATCTATAATTTGCAAGTTGGTAGGAAAGCAGGTCATTTCCCTACTACAACTTGCTTAACAGATGCATTAGACTGTTACTATTTACAACTATTAGAGACTGTTAAGGCCTCAGGTCTTACTTGAGAGAAATTTGTTATTTATTAGATAATATTTACCATGCCTTCTGTCAAGCATGACGGTGGCCACATTATGTTATAGTTCTGCTTCACATCGGCAGGTATAAAGAAAGTATATATAATTTTAGAACAGTATTTTATTTTAGCTAAGAACAAATTAGAACAACATACTGTACAACAACAGAATCCCATGACAAGAATTAATGGCCTTACAGATAGACAATTCAGTGACTCAGATAACTCTGATTTATAGACTACACAATTCTGCACATATACTGTAGAAAATGCAGCGTCTGTTTGACCAGTAGCAGCTGTCATAAAAGAACTTAAGCAGCATATATCTTTCCATGTTGGTATGAGGTTTCTGTGATTTCTGTTGTTCATGAGGAAAAATGATTAATTTAAGTATGCAAAACAGAAAGCTATGTCAAGGTTAAACTTTAAATGTGAATACTTTTAAATAGAGTATTCTAAGCTGTTTCAGCAAATGGTGATTCACTGAGAATAAGATTAAATGAGAATGGGAATTTTCAGAATAAATATAAATTCAGTTTACCAATAGACTGTTTGTTGCTTACTAATTACTATATAAATAGCACTATTCATTCTTTTTAGGCTGAAGATTAATTTAATAATATTTGTAGAATTTGGAATTTATGTGCATATATTTTCCTACTTCAGGAAAAAATATTATTGTTAAATTGCTATACAAAATAAAATTAATAAAACAATGGAGATTTAGCCTGCTAAAGTCTACTATTTTATAGGTGAAAAGTGTCTTAAACAATACAAACCAAAAAACATATAGCTTAACTTTTAACAAAGAATAATATTAAAGCCATTAATATGTATTTGCTCAACAGATGATTTGCGTATAGAAGCTTCTAATTTCTACCCAGATGAATCCACCATGAGATACCTGGCTTTTAATTTAGAAAATACAAGATGATGAAGCTTTAATTTAATATGAGCAATGATTGGATGTATCATCTGCTACAAAGCATACTTTGTAAAATACCTAGAATTCGTAACTATCAAAACATTTTCCCCCAACACTTCAATAATACAGTAGACCGCAAATATAGCACTGTATAACTGTGTGTATTAATACTTCTTACTCACAATATTATGACTGCAAACACGAGTCTTCTGGATTCATTTTCCAAGGAAACTATAATACTGCACTGTGTAGCACAGTACTTTTAGGTAATAATATTCTAACCTCATAAACCAAAATTACACACTATCAATTATCACACGGCTACAACAAAGACCAGATGAAGATTGCTATTGGGAGCTCTTGAATAACGTTATTGTTGAACAGGAATTAAACATTCTTAAAGGAACATAAAGTAAACAGTCCTTGTAAGCTTTTGAAATGTACAGTATATACTGTATAATATTGTTTTCTTTAGCATAGAACTCTAGCTACATAAGTGCAAGACAAAGAAATTATGTGATATATTAAAAGAAGATGTTTCAATGGGTGCACACTTGATTAATGATCTAGTTAAGATCATTCAAGGATTTCATACAAAATATCAAGAATATATCTTCTGCAGTTTTGAAAAATAATAATCTTCCTAGACATTTTTATCCATATCTTCTATGGATCATACCTCTGAAAAACAGTAGAGAGGCACCACATTGAAATTGTATAACACTAATGAAGATGGCATTTTGTTTTTCCAGATTCAGTATTTTACTGTATAGAACATATCTATTTTCATGACAACTGTATTAACAGTAATAAAAATGTAGTTTTATTTGATCACCTTGAATTGTAACTGCCCAGCTACAAAGAGATACAGTATACTGAAATATATATTTTGATTTTTTTATTGATAGGTTGAAAATTATTCGCCAAAAATAAAATGTGGTAGTTCTCTTTGCTGTAAGAAGACATTTACATTTTTTCTGTTCTATTTTAAAGTCTGTTTTTTCAGTGTTAAATTGCACTGACGTGAGTAAAATGCAGTTTGTGGATTGCTTTAGTCAAATGTTTTGCTACACATTGTGTTTTTCTTACAGAGAATGAGTGTCTTTCAGTCCAGTTGAAATTCATATTGAATAAAAATTCTTACAATTAAAATTACAATTAGTAAGTAATAGCAGAGAGATTTGTACCATACAGTATATTACATGTGGAGAACCAATTCATATTAATTAAATGTATTAATTAATGTATTTATAATAATTTTACAAATAAGAGAGGATTTTAAAATGGAATGCAGAGTGAGCAGGATTAGCAATAATTATAATAAATAATCAGAATTTCCTAACTGTAAAAGATATGCCAAGAGTATACCTGAGCAGTTGGTATAGTTAAAGGCACCTGGGATCTTTGTTGTCTGGCACATCTCTGGGGAAATCAGTAAATCAGAGGCCAACTGGGATAAAATGTTTATTAATAACGACAGTAACACACACTAAACAACATACAATGCAACATACAAGTTACTCTATTTACAAACAAGGCATTTCAGATGCCTAGGATCCAGAAAAAACACAGACTGCTAACACCCTGTACTCAAAAATCCTATACAGTATAATTCCTAACAGACCAATAAGACAGATAGACCTCATCCTAAATAAATCAGAATATAATGCAAAGCTAAATCTCTTGTCCTATAAATCTGGATGTTCCTAAAGTGAATCTATCTCCTTGTTTCAAACATTCATTAACCAGGAAAGACTGTTTTTAGCTAGGGGAAATCAGAGTTTCCTAAAACAACAGACAGCAAGCTCTCTTAAACAAAAACAAGGTTCAGATACTTAGAATCTGGTTGATTCGAACAAGGCCCTCTTGCCTGGCACACTTCTCCTCTGTCTCTGTCTCTCCTTTTCAGTTTCCGCCTGCCTATCTTTTATCCTGTGCTCCTGGACTGTTGATAATAATTAATAAAAACATTATTACCGTTATGACCTATGAGATGATTCATTTTGATCAATGTCTCTCAGATTTCCTAAAACTCAGTGAACTGCTATTATTGTTTCTACCTGCTTTGAAACCCTGAGAAGTGCAAATGTTGACACTAGCTAGATGCTAATCTCCCTATCTAGCTGTTACAATAACAAGTTTGAAAGAATAACATGAATATACAAAATTCTAAATTCTAAGTTTTGACCTATGGACATTTTTCTTTCCCTTTCATTGGAAAACTCACACTGTTTTATTTAAGGTAACGGTTTCTTCATTGACCAATACAGATCTCAGCACAAATGAAATCCCCATTGCATGAACTACATTTTTTCACTTATCTGGGATACTTAAGTAAGTAGTTGTGCTATAAAAAATAAAGGACTGCCTCATTAAAACTCTCCGGCTAACTGCTACAAAATCACCTGTAAAAGTGGTTGTTTTGTTTTTTCTAATTGTACAATGTTTACAGTTGTATTTAATCAAATTCTGTCTTCCATCCAACAACAAAGGGTACAGTTGGACTTCAGTCTCACTGCTTAGTTCAATCCTTGTAATTTTCGTAAGTGGACATTACAAATAGATTAAAAATCTATTGTGTCCTGGAGAGAATGAACTAGACAAAAAACATCCTGACATGAGGAGGCACTATGTACTTTGATTATGCATGAGGTCAGGGTATCACAAAACATTTAGTTTCAGGACAGCCTTACTCCAATGAAGTCATGATGCATAAAATTCTTTTGGCAATGTTTAAGAATGTGGTTATTAATTGATATATTTAATTTATGCACAGTTTTATTAAATGTAAATTGATGTATTTTCACTCAGTTCAGTTGTAAATTAAACTGTTTTAAAGAAAGGACTCTGGAAATTAAAACACTGCTTAAGCTGGCTTTCGTACATTTTTGTGCATTGTTTTATTAGATTCATTAATATGCAATGGATATTCAATCATAGTATGTGGACCTAAAGAGAATAAAGTAGGTTTCTGTTCACAATTACCTACTTTATAAATGTTTAAATTTAGAAATTTCCATGTGAACAAATAAGAATCAGGAAAAAAATACAGTATCACATGCCGCTGCCAGACAAATTATACAGTATATATGAAATGCTCCATCACACCAAATCTTCATGGTTTGAAATAGTGAAAGAACATGTACAGGGCCAAACTAGACAGGTCTGCACATTTAAAACAGCACATAACAACAATGATTAATATTTTAATGATTCACCTGCAAACTGAGCTCCAAATCCCCAATTCCTTCTGGGTTTACTTCGTCATTTGCTTTCTGTCTGCATCCAGCTCCTTCTGTGCTACAGATATATACCATTTCTGACTTCAGAATGTATTCCAAGTGCACTCAGCTTTTTCACCTCTAATATTGAGCAGTTGAAGGAACTGAAGGAAGCAGAAGGAAGCTTCACAGATAGCATGGGATTTGTCCAGACTGAAGCTTGGGAGTGTTTGTTACCCACACCTTTAGGAGACCAAAGGGAACTCTACCTTTCTGAATAATTTATGACAAGTGATAAAAGCTAGACAGCCCTAGAATCTAGTGGATAAGTTACTTTGTACAACTGTCAGTACTAATAGTTTTGGTACTATAGTTTTGCTGTTTTTGCTTTTTCTGTAGTACATAGTTTAAAAGTGCAAGAATAGTACTTTACATCTTAAAAATATAAGATGTATTTTATCCTAAATGCTTCATTAAAGATATTTTGATTTAATACAAATTAACTGAAGTAGAAGCAGAAGCTAAATATGTGAACATGTTAAGCAAAGTCAGTTGCTCACATTCTCATTTACCAATGCAAATGATTTTTTAATGGTTTACACATTTTGTGGAACAAAAATAAGCTTCAATTAATCAAAACAGAAAAATATGACTCCCTAAATGTACAAAGAAATTACGTTAAGTATAAATCAAGCATAAATGATGCATCCTGCTTTTCTTTTCAGCTATCCATAGTCACTGCACATTACCCTTCTGTTTTTCAGGGTACAAAGTGTCCTATTTTTGAGTTATTAGTATATGTTTTTCTAGCATGCTTCTGAGATTACTGAGACTAGGCTGCCCCTGCATTAATGACAAAAAACGACATGCTATATTTTACAGTTTATTATCATGTTATAGTGTGGATGGTGAATTCAATATTACAGTACATTGTTTTGACAGATTTGAAGATTATTCATATTATATGCATGCATTTCAGCTTGTGTGACACGATACCCAACAACTATCAACTATCACTGTTGCTCTGCCTATTACCTACCTTAATAATGCATACTTACATGACATATTCTAACACATTCCAAGTTAACTTATATCTTTTCCCAAACAATATATTCTTTCTTCAGTATCATCTTCAGAATTTTTCCAGTGAAAAATGCAACATACTGTAGCTCGTATCTGGTTTACTGTATGTTCTTGTAGTGTAACATCTGCCCAGTGCTGGCATGTCATTTAATAATGCCTAAACCACCTGTTCTCATCATTGTACAAGTGTACAAAATTCAGGCCAAAGTCAGGTTTTGATTTCAAGCAAATACAATTTCTAATTACTATCACTATCCTTGGCCCAATGCTATCTACTGTCTCAAATTTCTGTTTTGGGAAATGTTTAGTGTTAAGGTATTCCACTGTGTATTTAATTGCATACTGTATAGCATCAGTTGTACAGTATATAAAATATTTCATATAACAGCATAGAAGAGCACATTATAAACAAGAAATTGAGGATATTCTCCACGCAGAGATCAGTCCCCTTTAATTTAGCAATGCAGTACTTCATCTATTTCTGAATTTCCCATAATCCATACCACATACTGCACCTTATGATGCTGAATCTCAACTAAAGTATTGTATTTGTGTTGGAATTCATTTCTAAAGTTGGGCATTTCATAATACTTCTGTACATAGTGTATGGCAAATAACATGTTTATTGTTTTACATATCTATTTGATAGTTTTGTTTGAATCTAAAAACATGTTTTGTTGAATAGAGCCAGTACCACACTCCACGACATTTGATATAGTGAAAAATTAATCTGACACTATGATGGCATGAAAGGGTCATGACATTATTGATATCTGAAAAGTATGCAGCCATTAAATGAACCTGACAAATGTAGCCAGTCATAGTGTTGCTGCCACATATCGATCATTAAGAAACATTGCAGAAGGTCAATATTGTAACAACAGCACACCCCAGTCCTCTCTGACATCTAGCATAGTTCTTAGAAATCTAAGAACTTTACATTAGACTGCTAAAGTATGCCACCTGATCTCTGACTTGTTAGTAGAGAGTTTGTTTTTCAGTAGTATGCAAGAGGTTGCCTATAGATTGTGATATGCTGGTCCCAATGGCCCATCAAAGTTGTTATAGGTACAAAGTTGTACCTATAATTTTGCCCAGTGCCCTTGTAAGCACCACTGGGTTCTAACCACATGTGTAAATCTTGGAAATTCGCCATGACACCAATGAGCGACGTTTCTGGTTAATCAGAACTTTTCTGCTGACTGATTAGAACACACTGAGCTGTGCAGCCATGTTTCTTCTGGTCTGTAAGCTCTTATGCAACATAAAAGATTAACATTTTTCATTTATACTACATGGAAGACATATCAGGTACTTTTTAATTTATGTTCTTTCACATAACTTTCATGTATTTTGTGCAACAGCTGCAAACTCTGCTATGGAAAAATGTATGTGCTACGATTAGCATGTTTTGATGACTGTGTTATGTTATATTAATATTTAAAAACTAAAATATGGAATTACCCTCAACGTATGTTTATTGTCAACCTACAGTATAGTTGCACCCCAATTACTAAAAATTCTGAGTTCATATTGAAATAATGTATCATTGAATGAATAAAAACAACATTTTTTAAATTATGCTTTTCAGAGGTGAAGATAAGTTGTTTATTGCTGCTGGTAAATGATGACTTAGTAGAAACATAAATATCACACCTAACATTTATTTCAATTCTAAATATCTGTGTTTCTGCTTTGGTTCCTTATAAAACAAACAGTTACGGTAAAGCACATGACTACGATTTAAAATCCATATGAGTCACAACACTGCCATCAGATGGCTTTCCAGCAACAAGCATCACATTTTGTGAATGGCAAATATGAGACTGTAATATGCTTGAAAGATAACTTGGTTACATCTATTTAAAGGGAATATGTAAAATAAGGAGATTTCCTTCCATCACAAAATATATAACAAACATCGCATATTTTATATATGTAGTCAGCATATCCTGAAAAGAAAATAATGGAGCACACAATGAGGAAATATTCAGACCATGTTTATAAAGAAGCTAAGATCTAAATATTAAATTTTAAGATGTTGGTTTCCTGTAGGAAGAATTCTTGTACTTAAAACAAAAAATACTGTTACTTCAAAGAACTTTAAGCACTGAGAAATGCAAGAAAACTTGTATATTTAGAATTGATTTTCTTATCATTTTTCAGTAATATAAAAGTAAATATAGACAGCATTAAAATCATTTCTCTACTTTAATCTATAACCATACATATTAAAATTATACCTGAAAAAGCATTCATCTTTGTTTCTCTTTGACTTTTGGTGTTCAAAATCTGACAAAAATTTTATTCCAAAACTAGCACTACTGAACACCAGTATGAATGTTAAAGTACCAAACTACTTTTAATGTTTATGTAGCTTCCTGCTTCAAGTTTAAAATACATAGTGTGAGGTTAAAATACAGTATGTTTGCAAGCTTATTTGTAACACCTGAGCCAACAAATGAGTTCACAAATATTAATCTGTGAGTTTAACTCCTGCAAACAACTTTCACAATGAATTTTATTTTATTCAGTGTGGACATTTCTGCTAATATAAATTAATTGAAATGATTCTTATGATTTGACTCAGATTGACTTAACTTTATTTTCTTCTTAAACTCAGAAAGCATACTATTTATATTTATTTGGTTACCAAACACATTATATAACTATGAAACTATGAAAAGGCAAAAGCTAAGAATCACCAACACATACTAAAGCCTTAGTCACCTTTTCAGACTTTCAGTTTAAGTTTGGCTTTACAGATATATATCTGTTAATGTATGCTGCAATGCACATCACTTGCATGTTACAGAACAATACTATTTTCTAAAATGTATTTAATATAAATGATAATGAAATTTAGAATGTGACAGCCCATCTACAAAATCTTTAGAATTCTGTCAATATTATTGAAAGTAATTTACCACAATAAAAATGCATTATAGTAAATCTTAAGTACTATTCTTTTGATGCCTAAACTCCATAATGGTGAAACAAATAGATTCAATGTTACATGCAATAACCACAATAACCAGCAATAACCACATGCAAAAAAAATCCTCCTTTCACTACAACATATTCTCTTACAGTTTCAGTTATTCACAGAACTGTGGAGGTCAATGACCATTTTCCTGCAGTGTTTACTCTCTAAACGTAAATATAATGATGATGTACTGTATGCTTCTATTGAATGTCTCAGTTCTTTGTATTACCTCCTTTAAAAGATAAGATCACTTTATTAGCCATATACAATTTCTTGCATTAGGAATTTGTCTTTTCACATACCCCAGCTTGCTCTCCATGAGACACACAGACAGGGAGAGAAGCCTGGGGTCAGAGCACAGGCTCAGCCATTGTACAGCACCTCTGGAGCAGTTGGGGTTAAGGGCCTTGCTCAGGGGCCCAACAGAGAAGGATTCCTCTGCTGGCTGCAGGATTTGAACCGGGAACCTTCCAGCCACAAGCACAGATCCTTAGCCCCAGAGCCAGGGAACTCTTTATACACCAGAGAAATCTTGGGAGGCCTCTATATACTGTAGTTCTGGAGGTTTTCATTGAGCTTCCTAAGAGTGGTACAGTATGTTATTGTTGATTTGTTTTTGTTGAAACGTATTTAAAGGAATACTTAGAGGTATGAATAACAATCCTTTTGTTTTCTGGAATTCAAATAATTGTTTATAACAAATATGACTCTGCTCTGTGCAATGCTAATATGATTTATACATAACATTATCCAATCTGTAACTCACTTTGCTAAAGGATATATCTATACAATATATATCTGGAGGCATTGGATATATCATCTTATTGTTAGAGAGGGACTATGTAAGAAATGTAGCTCAAGGAGGAGTTTAAGTTTTTGTTTAATGGTTATTTATCTTTAATTCTTGCACTATTCAAGGACTATTTTTACCTTATGACTGCTTGTGTGTGTCTGTTTTCCTGTGATGTACCTATTTTAAAAGCTTGCTTCTATATCACCCCCCACATGTG